AGATGTGCTAAAACCCGCGCCTCTTCTTGCGTCTTAGCCAGTTCCATCAATGCTAAAGCACCCTGCCATTTCTTATTGTCTTCCTGTACCGGTAACTTATCTAGGCTTATATTGTCCTCCTGCTTAACACTAATTATTCTTGTCTCCGTTTTTACGGGATCCATTGTGAGGGACGGTTTTGAGACAATTTCTTTGCTGCTATTAGAACTACCAGCCAACATCAGAACTGTCGGTCTAGTTTCGTTTTCGCTGATACGAGAGTTTGCTAGTGTATCCTGTTTCGTTGTTTCTATACGAACAATTTGCTCTGTATAATCGAAAATCGAACATGCAGATTCAGAACTTTGACTTTGAATTTTTACAGCAGATTTGTTAATACTAGTTTCAAAAATATCCTGATTATTTGTCAAGTTATTTAGCTGATTATTTGACAAATTATTCAGCGGATCCCATTGTGGCTGATTCAGAGAATGCATAATCTCATATACATTTTCTTCCTCTGCTTTTGGAGGTTCGTTGTCGTTGTGATTAATTATGCAACACGTTTGAGAGGTGATATACGAAGGTTCCAATTGTGTATTTGGAATTTCATGTTTGCTGTCCAGATTCGATAAAGTTGTATTATTCTCGGGGACAGAATGGTCCAAGAACGCCGTATACCAGTGAAATTCCGATGATTCTGTGGGTCTGTCTAGAATTTGTTTCTCATCCATCTTGCGTATGGTCGTTACATTGTTAGATCTAACGTCCTCGTTTAGGTCTAGCTGTTGGTCTAAGCAAGCATACCGTAGCCATCGTTTCTTTGGTTGCAGTCTGTCCAAGGGTCTTCTTAGTGAGGTGATTGCTAACTTGGCGTTTGATCCTTCTTCATCCTCGGATGTTTGCAATATCGCGCAGCATGTTTCCGCTGGATCTTCATCTTGACTCTCCTCTTGACTATCTTGATTCTCTTCGCAGTGCAGTCGTTGATTTGAAGGGTTGTGATCAAGATTTTCCTGTTCTCCCGCTATATCCATCATAAGGCCTTTTCTGGATTTTATCCTCTTGTGATTTTCGGCAGTACTCTTCCATGTCTTCTTCTTTCGTTCATTTTTCCCAGTCGGTGTACGGTCTTCACGTTCCCTGGACATCTTGTAACGTTCCAACCATCGACTTACATCGTATGACAATTCCGTGTTTTCAGATACTGGCTTTAATACAAAATCATCTGATCTTGTAAGATTGGCATAAGGATGATCGGGACAATGTCTATTGGCATGAGTAAATCTCGTTTCACAACCTGGTACGGTGCATAAAAATGGCTTTTCTCCTGTATGCAATCGTTGATGAGTCTTCAGTTGTCCCGATTGGGTGAAAGCCTTCGAGCATCCAGGATAATCACATGGATATGGACGTTCTCCTGTAATTACAACATGAATATTTTTATTATGTATTTTATCTAATTAATTATTATACAAATAAATTCTGAAATATATGTGTGTATATACAAAACATCCCTCTAATATTTTGTAATTTATTTTAATACAAAAATGGAATCTGACTTATACATATGTATATAAACATTACATTTCAAGAATGTTAAATTTTAATTTTCTCTCTAAATAAATTAATATATACCAATATCAATTATTAATCTTTTCAAAATCTCAATACAATTTTAATGTATAGCTCAATCCTTAATACAATAATAAAATAATGCTTTCTATCAATGTAGATTAATTTTAATAATTTCGATTCAATTTATTCATCACCTTTTTTTCTAATTGTTACAATTAAAAAAAGATGAAGCGTCAATTAAAATTAAAATTAAATTACAAGGGAAGAAACAAGTATAAGAAATTTTACTATGCATCTGGTATTTAAATCTGCCAAACATTAGTTTTCTGAGTTCAATCAATCTTATTATGAAAGAAAGAATGCAGCAGTCAGAGAGATTCGTAATATTTTTCAAAATGCGTCTTTTTTTTTCTTATCTATACACAAAGAAAAAAACGCGCCACTTTGTGCCGTTAACGGACAATACGCGTGAACAAACAACATCCCAGAGGGTTCTCCCCTCTCCATCTCTTTCAGGACCGATTAAAATTCCACGCAATTCGAGAGTCGGGACGGCATCGCCGGTTACACGTGTCACCGCGTGCTGTAAATTTCGCGCGCAACTGGCGAACTACGACCACACGCGGAGTTGGGGACGCGTCGGTGCCGGGATTGCCGGGTGCGTCGCAGCGCGTCGTAGCGTTGCGCCGGCACGCAAGTCGAGCCATTTAAGTATTTAAAGCACGGCATGATGGCCGATTGGCGGGACTGGCGCGAGCAGTGAGACGCACGCGACACGCGGAACAGAGAACTATCCTTTGCGCGCGCGATCGTTTTCTCTCTCTCTCTCTTTCTCTCCCTCTCTTTCGTTTTCTGTTGGAGATCGCGAGGTTGAATAAAAGCTGAATAAAAGTCGCCGCGGATGATCGACGCGATCGGCGCAGGATAAAATCCCTTTACCCGTGTGAGTGCGCAGGTGCGCCTGCAGACTCTTCTCGCGCGGGAACACCCGGTTGCAGTAGGTACACTTGATGCTGCTTGGCGACGTACTGCCCTGCTTCATGAGATTCGTGAGTGCGTCGGCGCGCGGCCGACCGCGCCGGTGGCTTTCGGAGCCGTTGCCGGCGGTTGATCTACCGGCCGCGTTACCACCGCCCGCGTCTAGCCCCGCGACATGCTGCTCCCTGTACTCCGGCGAGGAGCACGAGCTGCCTGGGCTTAGATTCACATTGCGTGCCTCCTCACCCCAGTTCCATGGATATAAAGTCGTGTCGCACATCGAAGGACTGCGATCGAGCGACTCTGCGGAGGAGTCCGCTGAAGGCCGCTGCTCCCGCTTCGGCGTGTGGAGTTCCATCCTCGCCGCTCTGCCAACGCGCTGCCCAGCACTGCCTCGTCGGCTGGCGGCTCGCTCTCTTTACCTCTCTCTTTCAAAACAATTAAACCCGCTCTTTTCACACTTTACTTCTCTCACACGATCAGTTCACTTGTCACAATCATTGTCGTTACCATTACCAATCATCGTTCTATACACGCGACGCGATGCCCAACGATGGCTCTAGCGATGCCCAGCGATGCACTCACGGCTCGCGGTGGAACGCGGTAACCTACCGCTAACCGCTGACTGGCTTGACACGCGCGACCTCTCTGCCACTGTCGCCATACCGCCTCCACCCGCCTGTCCCGCCACCGCCGAACCGAGCGCGTAGTACGCGTGCCGCGTGCAACTAGTAAACCGCCAAAATACGCACACAACCACACACAAGTGTAGAGTACTCAGTTAGTACACCCTACGATTCTACACAACTCCGCAAGTTTCTCAAAATGGCTGCCCTATGCGCGCGCATCGCATCCGTCTAGGCGGATTTGTATGTAGCCACGTGAACGTAATCAACTGTAACGAACTTGGATGGTGAAAAATAAAATATTCATCGTAAGCATCTTTTATTCTGTAATTCTTAACGATATCTGATATCGTTATTTTAAATACGAAGCGCCACTATGTGCCACTGGTCTGAATGTGTTAAGATGTTGAACTATTGCATACATTCATATAAATGAATTAATTTTAGAAATGATAATTGCCGATATGGTTGTCGGACTTTCAACGCAATCAATCTGAAATGTTAATAATCCTCCCCAAATTTCTCAAATTTAATCTTAAAAAACTGTAATGACTTATTGCGAAAAATATTGCCTCGGCCGGGAATCGAATCCGGATCTCTTGCACTCTGTGCGAGATTTTGGGGGGATCATTTCTGAAATTAATATATACAATAATAGGCCAACAGCTTAACTTTCAGACTATAGTGGCGCTTCGTATTTAAAGTAATGTACAATATTTAACATAAACGGTCTTGTTTCCAATTTTATCGATATTGTTATATTGTCATTGAGCAATTTTTTACTATATCGTATCTAATATCTGAACGATAATAAAATGATAGCGTTTTCCAGTTTGGAGTAACTGGTGCACTCTGAGTGCAATTGAGTGGAAATCAATTCGTATTCTACGGTCGACTGTTGCCACAGGTGCAGATGCAGGTTGATGCAGGTTCAATCAGGTTCAATCGCTAGTTCCAAATACCTGACGTCTCGCGTTTCGGTTTCACGAACGAATGTACAAACACACGTAATAATCTCACAATTAAAATTGCACAAAATACAAATAAAGATATGTTGAAGAAAAATTAAAAGAGTCGATTCTGTATCTTGAAACAAAGTAAAAATTATAAAAGCGAGCGAATTTACTGAAATATTTATACCTTCATTGATCGACATTGGTAAATTTGCTCACTTTTCGTAATTTTCACCTTGTTCCAAGATATAGAAATCGATCTCAAGATTTCGATTGATTCGAGAAACGACTGAAGTCATCCGGATAAGTTTGTAAATCCGCCTATCCGCGCATGACGCCGTGAATTTCCGGTGAGCGGTGATTGGCCGGCGTCGATTGGACAAAATCGATCGGCTAATGCTGATTGGTCGCGTGACGTCACGCGCCGCCATACAAGAGCAACACAACACACTTGTTTCGATAACAGAGCGTTATCGCTGCATTTCGCAAATTTATTACAATCGTCTGAATCGTTTCTCGCATTTTCTCGTATTTTCGACGAGACGTGGCCGAGAAATGACGTTACACGATTTTCTCGAGATGAAACGACGACGCAGCGGTTTGCCGGTTGCCGCGGCGCGTCTCATGGAAATCGCGCGACTTTCCGGCCGAGATGACGAAATATGAACAATTGAGAGTCTTCTCGAGCACCACGATATCGTATATCGGCGATTCGAATCGCGCGTAAATTCACGTTGTATTTTTTCAGATCGATCGAGACGATGGACCGGACTGAGAGTGATAATAGTAAAGAAATACGGTAATTCTGGTGGGGGAGGTGGCGCGCTGATTGCAGAGCAATTCCGTAGTCTCTCGTCGGTGTTCCCTCGCCCTTCTCCTCCCTCGCCTTTGTCTGCATGGTGCCGCAGCGGGGTAGACCTCGTGGTGGATTCGAGCTCTCCGACTCGGCCATATTGGATAGTGAATGACTCCGTTACACAGGGGCTCAAGAGTAGCCGTGAAACCTTCGCAAGATCCTCGACGCCGTGAGGATACCGAGACAAGATGGAAAACGAGTACACAGTTACGGTCACGAACAAGTTCCTGCTGGCGCTCGATGAGAGCGAGGATCCTCTGGAGGTGCTAAAAGTGCGCGAGCAAGAGAAGGAAGCCAAGAAAAAGGAGAGGATCTCGGAGAAGGAGAACAAGACCAAGCAGCAGCAGCAGCAACATCAGCAACAGCAACAACAGCAGCAACAGCAGCAGCAGCAGCAACAGCAGCAGCAGCAGCAGCAACAGCAACACCTGATGTCGTCAGGGAACAGTTGCGGCAGGCGCTGCGGGAATAGAAATGGACACGGACAGCCGCAGGATGGTCAAAAGACCGCCAACAACAAGACGCAGAAGAGCCGCGTGATCAAGGACGCCCAGCAGCCACCGTCGAAGGCGCAGGAAACTAAAAAGGATCAAGGTTAGCCCTCCCCCCGGCACCTCGTCATCTCGTCTCGTTTCGTTTCGTCTCGTGTCGTGTGCGCGTTATGGCCGTCGGTCTCCCATGTGCTTGCCGATTTTACGCCGATCTTCCTCGCGATGATCCCCTCGTCACCCGCCTCCCCGATCGATCGACTCCACGGTGACTCGGAATTCCCTAGCTGCGAATGAAGTCAAAAGTGTCGTACCTTTCGCGAAAGCGATCGCGCGTCGGCTACCAAATTTTCTAAAAATGATTTGTTCGCCTTAAAAATAGGCCCGCGCGTGCCGAATTCCGCGACCGTCTTGTCCGTTTCATGTGTCCCTACGCGGGGATACCGGCACACCATTCAACGCTAAATTCGTGTGCGAGCATGTCGGATATGCGTCTTTTGTGGCTATATCTCCTTAGAGTTTATCTAGCTATCATGGGATCGTATGATCGTATATCGGGCTTCTATTGCTCTGTAAGTGATATCTCTGTATGTGATATCAAATTTATGAATAACATATGTAGATACGTATAACGTTCGTGATCATTGAACATATCTTACGTCCATTGTCTGCATGCTCGTGTGTTGACCGTTTTATTTTTAAAACACATTTTTTAAAAAAATGTAAAAGGATATGGAATACGCATTTTGGATTTTTTTTCCCTAACCAAAGTTTCTCGTGTAATTAGATTGCATGGCTCTTATTAATAAATTATATTTTGCCCCTTTTTTTTCAAGATACATAAATGTATTTCTTTTTTATGTATTTTAAATTAATTTAAGAAGTTGTTCAATTTTACCGGTCGACCGTCTTTATATTTATCTAATTGATTGTGTTATACCTGTTTCCATCAATTTTGATTCGACTTACTCTTTGTCTTTCTTCTAATTCTTAAAATTGGAAAAAAGATGAATAAAACCTGCAGCACCCGATGCTTGTTTTTCTGCTAGATTCCTAGCTGGATTAAAATCTTTCCGTCGTATTGACTGCGTCATTTTGTATCGTCAGTGTCAGCATCGTAGCTAATATAGTAGCAAAAATTTATTCTAGCTAGCAATCCAGCAAGGAAACAAGCATCATGTGCCACTTGCTTAAGTTAAAACTGAGATTAAAGTTAATCTAAATTGGTGGAAATGGAATTAAGAGGCATTTCAAACAAATGCCAATTAAAATTCTCTTGCTGGAAAGTAATATTTATTTATGCAAAATAATTATATTTGTATGCTTTATGTTAATGTTTTCAGCCGATAAGAAATCTGCTCAATCAAGAGCAAGTGGAGGTGACCGGAACGTCAAGTTCTCCGGGGAATCTCGGGAGGAGCGCAACAATAGGCGCAACCGAGAAGACGGAGAGAGGACACTCCGAGGACAAGGAGAGTTTAGACGGGGACCTCCTAGGTTAGTTTCAAGATAAGATATTAAGATAATCGATTATATTATAGAAATCGTATTATCAAATCATGTTTTAGCAATATATTTTGTATTAAAATATTCATCAAATTCAAATATTTCATTCATATATAAATAATAAAATATTTTTTAGCAATTAAAGTACGATGTTTGTTCGCATAATGTAACAGAATTGCAATTGGAACAAAGTTACTATATTTCATGTAAATATATTCAAGATAGATACAGTTCGTATTTTTAATTTTCTAGTCTTCGGTTTATTTTTGTTTCTATCACTGTAAATTCGTGTTGTTATCTGCTCAAAATATCTTTTATTAGCTTTATATAAAACACTGAGATCGAACTCTGATCTTTATATTGACAAGCAAGTACTTTATCACCATGTCATTTAATGTCTCGAGTTTGTCTTTTAAAAAAGGAGATATAGGGTGCTTTAATGACACAAGTCGATACAAACATTCTATCTCTCTTGGCGTTTCATGAATAATGAAGACAAGACAATACTTGTGTCAACTTGTGTCATCAAATGGAAAATACCTACAGTTTCAAAAACATACTCATGTGCGCGCAATGTATATGTTAGATACGTCAACATGATGCAAATAATTTAATGAATAATGAATTTTATATATTTATATTTTATATAGAGCGAGATATAGAAACGCATATTCAGATTTATTAATATTCACAATTCTTCAAATTTTTGGACTTTAAATTTTTTTTCGCAATTGTAGCACTTGTAGCAATTACATATTCCGTTTCATTTCAGCGAAGGCCGCGAGACACGCGAGTTCCGAAACTCAAGCGAGACTCAACGTGGAGAATATGGCGAGCGCCGTGGCCGCGGCGGTATGCGGGGTATGGGTCGCGGACGTGGTGGCCCTCGTGGACGCGGTGGCTTTGATAATCGCGGCAAACGCGAGTTTGATCGTCAGTCCGGTTCTGATAAAACGTAAGTATCAAAATACGCATGCACACATACAAAGAGACATTACATTCGAATATCTCTATGTAAATAATGCTTGCCTCGATGTGCACACTGTATCAATGTTGTTGTTACGTTCGAATCTTTTTCAGAGCACCGACAATGCAGTCTATGTTCTCTTTCACTCTGCTTTGTATTTGTATTTTTACACTTAATTTCATTATTTCTTTCTAGTTGTGATACTTTACTTTTGTGTTACACGGGACGGTAAATACTTACAATAATTCGAATACTTTTTTTTTACATTTATTATAACTTATTACATAATCATATAAATAAGTAGGAATATAAATCGGTAGGAATGATAATTTCTCGACAGAAGCATTTGTAATGAGGCACGCATTAATTATATAACAGTATAATGCTATATAGCTTGATCAGTGTACCATAATTTAAAACCTATTTCACATTTGTCTATTAACAGTGGAATTAAACCAGTGGATAAAAAAGATGGTGCTGGCAGCCATAATTGGGGTACTCATAATGACGAAATAGAGTAAGTAATTCAAGGTAGTTCAAATTTCTTACAACAGCTTTTGAACAAAAAACAAAATATGATATATCTTGACCTTTATTTTTTCTTGTTTTTTTTTTTAGAGAGAGCCTGAATCAAGATAGTCAAGATTGGGCCAATGATAAGCCGGATACCGATCCTCAAGCACCGACCGAAGTTAAGAATGGAGAAACAACTACGGATGCGACTGTTGAGGAGAAACCGGTCGAGGAAGAGACGCGCGAGCTCACCCTTGACGAATGGAAAGCTCTGCGGAATAATAGAGCAAAGCCTCAATATAATTTGCGAAAGGCTGGCGAGGGTGAGGATCTGTCGCGTTGGAAGAAGATGTACGCTCTTGAGAGAAAGAAGGAGGGTAACGAAGAAGAGGAAGACGAGGAGGAGGAATATGACGCAGCCGCGGAATATCCTCAGCGCGTTGGCAGGCAAAAACGTGTCTTAGGCATTGAGATCCAGTTCAGTGATTCACGACGCGGTTCTGGCGGTCGCGGTCGAGGTGGTCGCGGTCGTGGCGATCGCATGAACGGACGTGGATTTGGAAATCGTAGTGCTCCCAGGGACGGTGATGGGACACGCGTGAGTATTTGTATTATATATATATATATACACATTTAAAGCTTTTAACATTTTTAAATTATGAAGCAATTTTTCGAAAAAAGAGAAAGAACGTAAAAATAATATATATACCTTTTGCTTGCAGTCGCAGAATGAACAGAGGTCACCGCGAAGTCGCCAGAACGCTCCGAAGGTAGATGACGAGAATGACTTTCCTTCCTTGGGATAGGTAGCTTCATCTGTTGATACTATACAACATCCCACCATTACCATCACCATCAGTACATTTACTACAGATAAAGCTACACTAACTAAAACAAAATATTACTATCGAGAATCTTGCGTTAGTGATAATAACATTATTAATGCATAATACAGTACACCGTTACAGAAATGAGATACGTAATATTGTCTAAAAATTCCTCTCGTGACCTGAACGTCACAATTACGTATTGGCATATAATCGTACACATGAAAAGTTGCATGATGTATGAAGGAAAAAAAACAAATAGATAACGATCCTTTTTTGTACTTGTGGGAAGCCATTTGTCTGTAACTAGTCCGAGACACACGCCAACGGACAAACGATTTGTGGAGAGTGGAGCATATAGTCTCTTGTTAATAATTTCAAATCCATAATGATGACAGGAAGAGTATACAGAAGATTAAGAGAGAGAGAGAGAGAGAGAAAAAAAAAGGGAGAGAGAGAGTTTAAGCGGACCAGCAAGCGTTGTGGAGTATATACTTCAAGTTACAGTTTCAATCTGCTTAAATCCGAATCGAAGACAATTGCCGAAAGGAGGGGAAATTTTTGCTGTACACAAAAGCGGAACGTGGGCTGCGGTATCGATCTCAATCTCGATGTCGCGTTAAAAGGCCTAAAGGAGGCTGGATGTAGCATCGATACGCGCGCGAACATGTATAATATCTCTTTTTAGGCGTAAATTTTAAAACGCACTTTCTGTTTTATAAGTTTTATACGATTTGTGGAAAAGAAGAATCCTTCCTTGTAACACACATATACCGGCGGGTTTGATTACTTGCCATGCGTAAGATGTAAGAAACTTTTAACAGGGAGGGTAGATTTCTATTTAAGAAGACGCATCCTAAATAAATCATCTACTTAGAACATGCTAAGTTTGACATATATACATATATATGCATATATATGTATGTATATGTATATGTATATGTATACATAGAGAGAGAGAGACTTCCCTTTTGAAGATGTAGTCGATCTTGTGCGAAGTTAACATTTAATATCTTGAACACACATTGACACAGTTTTAGGTAATATATATATATATAAACACATGGATATGTATACATATATGTATTCTATTATAAATCGAAAGAAGTGAGAAACGTGATACGCAGAGAGGGAAGACGGAACGAATGAGTACTCACATATTATTATGTTACACTTATGCGTTCTCATATTCTTAATTACAAACTAATATTAGTTATTTACTATATTTGTTATAAAATTTAAAAAATTATCGCAGCCAAAAGATTCACCTCATATCCATCATAGAGACGGAAAAAAAAAAGAAAAACAGAAAAACGTTATGAAGCTCTTTGCAGCTTAGATATATGTGTAAATAACATTTACAATAATAAATTGTAACGATGATCGGACACTTTGAGCTCGATTAACTTCATCAGTCAGATAAGATTATTCTAAGCAGGTTCTTTCTCTTGTTTGCACATCTGTACAGAAAAAAAAACGTAAGTACAAAAGTATACTATTTTAAATGTCGCGAAAAGGAAAAAAAAGGATCCGAATCTGAGAAAAAAACTAACTCTCATTGAGACGTGTTATGCTAATAAAGTTGTAAATGTAATAATTTTATTGTAATTTCTTCTCGTAATTAACAATAACTATCATTCCTTGCACGACTAATCAAAAGATAATCGATTTGATATAGCCTGTTTCGCAGTCGTTTCGTTTTTTTTAAATTGTCGCCACAGCCTCCGAATGCTATTTCAATCGTACGAAGTTAACTTAGTATTGCTCAGTTAGCTTCTTCGGTTTAAGTTGGCTGCTTAGCTAAGTGAGATACCTTAATTTTTTACTTTACAAATCGCGTATATATAAATACACATGTTTTATTAAATTTCATATAATATTTAGATCAATCACGGATATACGATTATATTTACTAAAATATCAGATGTATTGATGGAATTGAAGCGTGGATTTTTCGGCAGAACGTGAAGTGAGCTACAATCATCTTACTATGGGAGGGAAAGCACTTCGTTCAGCTTCATCGTTCTATATCTGCAGAATGATACGGTTCAGACGCGAATATCGCGATGAATACGTGCGCATATCGAGATACACAGATAAATACATGGTACTTCACTTTTCCCCAGAAAAATCACAAATTTCCTTAATAAAGAATATTGGGACTTGACTAAAAACATTAATGATCGGTGAAAATTTATAAATAGTTCCTGTAGTACAAGAAATTTCATCCGAGCTTGAACTTTGGAAACGCAGGTGGAAACTCATCGAGTAATCTCCAACATTACGTTAACGAACTTTGTAACAAAAAATTATTTCGACATTTTTTAGGATTAAAAATAATTTCAAAGTCTTAAACTAATTGCGAGGAAGTATCATCGTTGACTCCATGGAAGTATCTGTAAACAAAAAGAAAAGTTCGAGACATTTTATTTATATATATATAAAGAGGCACTCGGAGAGCAAGTAGAATCCGACTCGTTGGATTCGCGATAAGAGCGAGGGAGAAGCCGCGAGAGAGGAACGAGGTGGAGGGAGAGAGTGAGACGGAAAAGCAGCGCATGCCGTACTGGCGTACACTGGAGTACTCCATAGCCACGGCCCCCGACTCGCGCCTCTAAACTTGTGCAGCGGCTCTGTGTCGGACGAATTTTAATGGCGGCTGATCCCGACTCGGCCGTTTGTAGTGTTGTGTTGTGAGGCGACACGAACGGCCGCTTGGCGCTTCGCGCGGCGCCGACTTATGGTAGCGAAACAGGACGCGAGCCATTCAGCCATCGCGGATCATCATCCGTCGGCGATACCTCGTCCCCGGGCGGTGCTGGTGCTGTGCCAGTGCGTGTGCGGCGACGGCAGTGGCAGTGGCAGCAACAGCGATAGTCAGTTCGTGGTGGCGACCAGTACCTATCTAAGCGAGCCGGGACGGGAGCCTCCTCCATCCGCGAGCGAGCATGCCGCACATTCGCGATGTGCCGTAGCGATCACGGCCACGCAATTGTTCGAGCACCATTCCCGCAGCGTGTATCCGCGACGTACGACTGCGAAGACGCGCAGCGAGCAAGGTAAATTCGCCTAGCCTAGTCGAGTCGAATAAGTCGCTTTGAGTCTGTCCGAGTTCCGAGTTCTGAGTCGACGGCAAGAGATACGTGGTGGCGGCCCTGGCGTCTCGCCCGATATCAGCTTGTGTGCTTGTGTGTCGCGTCTCGCGCGTAATCGGCCCTTTCCACCTTTCGGACCTCGATCTTGCTCGATCCTACTCGATGATCCTCATCTACGGCTCTTTGTGACTATTCCCGTCCTCGTTTTCCCGTCGTCGAATCGGGATTCTCTCGGCGTAACGACCGCGGGATCCCTAATTCGTCATCGCGGCCGTGTTTTGGTAGTCGATGTGATCGTGACGGGAATGGAAAGAAGAGATGGTGGAGAGGGAGGGGCGACGGAACGGGGTTGGTGGAGAGTATCCTTGCCTTTGTGCGAAGACAGTGGCCTTAGCTGTCAAGTGCAGCTACGTTGGTCACGCTAATGAAGGGCGGTACGTGCTAACCCGAAATGCGTGGAGCCATCTGCCTCTCGCCGTTATGCTTCTTCATTGTTAAAAAGGCTCGGCAGCCCTTTTTTTACGCTCCTCGGTGGTCGTCGATGAAGAAGCCTTTCGAACGGAAACGCGTTGCCAGCGTGTACGCATCGTGCGGCACTCGATTGGCATCTTATCGAGACGCTACTAATATTCACCGTAGCGTTTCATCGCGATTGATAGTTTTTTCTAACGCATCGCGTATAGATTTTAATAAAGTCGCTGCTGTTCGTTTTTTTAAGGTTATTTCGGGAATCTATGTCCAGTGTAGAGTTCCGCTCAGTGTATTACCGTTAGTTTTTATTTTCGAAATTTGAGGTTGGAGTATGTTTCCAGGTATAATAGTGCAGATTTAATGAAATTACCTTGCGCGCGTCGAGATTAGTTGTAAAATGAATAAAAATATACGAGTTATTATAATATGAAGATACCTAACACGCTCTGAATAGTTAATGTCTCGCGTGATACAGGGTGCTTTCTAGCAAGACACAGTGTAACGCAAGTGAATCATTGATCTTTGTTGTCAACGTTAAACAATAGGTCTGTTTGCGTCGCTCGTGCCTTTTGTATTCAGAATCTTCTCTTTCTCTCTTCAGTGCCTAACAATATCTCTGTTTTAAGTGCAAAAATTTTCTTAAACAATGCAAACAGACCTAAAGATGAACTAATAACTTGTGGATTTTTAGAATAAGTTATTACCTAAGCCTTAAGTCCAAAATGGTAAGAAATTGATCAGCCACAGTCAAATGTGAGAAAAATAATCAACCATTTTTTACGACTTAAAACTTAGTCTTAGCTATAGCTTAGCCTTAGATAATGGCTTATTATACTGTGTTTATACTGTGTTTCTTGCTAGAAAGCATCAAAAACTTATTCGTTCCCATTTGATATAATTTATTCATAATGTTTCAGAGGTACCAGACAATGATCGGCATGTCGGTGCCTGCATTCAAGTATAACTGGTAGTATTGTGTATAACACTGGCTCACTACCAGCAGCAGGGCACGTACCCTGACACTACACCTTTTACATTTCCTCTCCTAGACCTGCATACGCACTGACGCACACGCAACGCGTGTGCGCACGTGCTTTGTCAGCTGTCGCGTACACACCATGAGATTCCTGGGATTTACCCAGTCATTTCCCAAATCACCTACAGTGACGCATCTACAAGTGCCGCTGCCACCGCTCCTTCATCGATTATCCTTCTCATCCATGTCCATTGTCACATGGTTCCTAGTGATATTGGCGACTGCAGCAATAGATACTCCCGCTAGTACCGTACCACCGATACAGGACAACAAATCCCCTCATATAATAGCGCAGTTCCCCGCGGGAAATGGACAGCAATATGGACATTTTTCCTTGGACGCCAATGCAACTAGAGAGGGAGCTTTGAGATTTAATCATCTTGCTATAGATCCTTCCTCTGGAAGGCTCTATGGAGCCGCGATCAACAGACTTTTTCAACTCGATTCAAATCTCAGATTGGAGGAATATGTCTCAACAGGTCAGTTTTTTAATAATTTCAAACAAAGTATCTTTTAAGATATAATGTGAATACACAACAAATAAGAAATAAAGAAATAAATAGAAAAATCTAAATGGTCAAGCTAGATTTTTAATGCTTAAATAATTCAGTGTGAATTTACATACTACGTATTCAATCCTGAAAATTTGGTTGTTTAGTTATTTCTTTACATAATATATTAGATATTTATAAGATGAATAATCAATCTCTTCTTATTCTAGGACCGAGACTGGACAATCCTCAATGTCATGCAACAGGTTGCATGGCAAGAGACATACCTACTTCTTTAATGGATAATGTGAACAAACTCCTAATCGCCGATGTTAAGTCGCAGATGTTAATCGCCTGTGGCTCCCTTCTTCAAGGGGCTTGCGAAAAGTACCAAATGTCCAACATATCCATTAAGCCGGAGTTTATTCCTCATAGCGTGGCTGCCAACGATGAGAATTCGTCCACGTACGCTTTTATCGGGCCTGAAAAATACAATCCATGGGAACAGACGAACATACTCTATGTGGGAACGACGTTCACTAACAAAGGGGATTATCGTCACGACGTGCCCGCCATCTCCAGCAGAAATCTAGACAACCTGGAGTTCGCAGAGTACACGTTCAATAAACAATCGATCGTGTACATCGACGTCAAGTATCGGGATCACTTTCTGGTGAAATATGTGTACGGGTTCAACGCGAGCGACTACGCGTACTTTGTTCTGGTACAGAAGCAGTCGTATCTGCCGGAGCAAGAGGAACTGGGATACATCTCCAGGCTGGCGCGAAGTTGCATAAGCGATCCGAATTACGACAGTTACACCGAAGTGACTCTGCAGTGTACAGTCGATTTGGGGGACGGAAAGCAACATCATTACAATTTGGTGCAGGACGCAAAGGTAGCGGCAGCGGGCAGTGATCTGGCCATGCAACTTGGTATCTCTGTCGGCGATCCCGTATTCGTTTCTGTATTTTCGCCTAGCAGAGGCATCACGAACGAGCCTCTATCACGTTCGGCGGTTTGCATCTACAGTCTACAAGACATCGAGACCAAGTTCAATGAAAATATTCATATGTGCTTCAATGGCAGCATTAAGTATCGAAATATGGGTTACGTCAGCGGTCCTATACAAGACGGAAAGTGTCCTACTGCTGGTGTAAGTAAATCTATAGGAAAGATAAAATAAACGTTGGAAACGTATATTTTGTTATTTTCTACATTAATTGTATTACTTTATTTTGCAGACTACAGGAAATATTCTTAACTTCTGTGAGGTGGGATTGAAAATTTCGGGCGTATCACCAATCACGGGCCAAGCTATATTACATTTTCCTGACACGTTCATTAGTTCAGTAACCATTGCCAACACCGAGAGTCACACTGTCGCATTTTTCGGCACGAATGATGGTGTTCTCAAGAAGGTCTTACTGTCTGGAGTTGAAGCGTTTGTCTATGAAAGTGTTACGATTGATAAAGGACAAAAGTTATTGCCTGACACGCTGAT